TAGCAAGAGTCGTGCTTCGCAGAATCTACCACCGGATCGGAAACGCGACCCACTGAGAAGATCCGGCGAGAAACTCAGTGGGCTGTGTCTGAGAGTTAATTTACTCGTCGAGCCCTTCGTCGCAAGCGACGGGTTCGACGAGAACGGTGACCGGTGCTTGAAGTACCTAAAAGCACCGTTAGTGGATCGGGAGGATCCGAGATGACGTGTTTTGGGCGACGTCGACTGCTTTCCATTCTGTCCGCAGGATCGGGAATGTAGTTACCGGCGGCCACGATGAGAGGGTTCTCGTGTCGTGCCGCTTTATCGAAGTGGCGCATGGACGCCGACTGCAGATACTTACTGATGGACTCTAAGTCCAGGTCGTCATGGAGGTCGACATTCCTGACGAACCACGGGGCGTAAATTACGTTCCGTTATACTGTCCATTTTATACTGGCTTCCAGTTTCATATAACACGGTTTGGCAAAACACGAGACTTTGTAGGAACGCATTTACCGTGTTGTATAGGAGGGCTACTTACCCATATTCGAAACGTCGAGAATAATCTAACGACAAATAATTAAAAATGTGAGATTAAACTCATATTATACCGCAAAAGTAGTTTAAATCAGAAACAATTTGTCTCATCCAAAGTTCGGATCCGGGTTATTAAGTCACAAAAGGTTTTATTCGATTCAAACCCGATAGTACCTAGTCGATAATGGTTTAGAACTTTAGATGATTTGGTATAGGTATTTTCTCGTTGGCTAACATGGAATGAAAAATATTTAAAAAAGCTGTATAACGTCCAAAAGGATTCTACCGTCTACAAATTAAATAATATAAAAAATTATATTACTTAAAAAATACCTAGTTAGTGACTTTGATCTTATGTATCTAAAATTAAACACAAATCTTAATCATACATACCAATATCATTTTCAGGATGAGATTACTCATTTACAAGTTACGAATAACTCGACTGACGACCAATCAACTAGTCGCCCCACTGAACCATGACACACGCTCGGTGGAACATCATTCATTTAACATTTAGCCCAAACGTAATATTTGTTTTGGTGTTTAGTAAATTTAATTTCAAGATAATTCAAGCTCGCCATCCACAACATACAAGCCATAGGGTCACTGCGACTGATTGCCAATAAAACTGTAAACACAAGATGCGCTTTATAACCCAAAAAAGACCGTCGTTCGTACATGTACGTGATGTGTTGTCTATGTGCTTACTGCGAGTTTTTTAACGTTCTCGATAGCGTAAAAGTTAACCCAATTTTGTATGCAGTTGGAACAGCGCCCCTAACGACAAACGTAGGCATTTTTTTTTATCCTACCTATGCTGATAGCCTTGAGAGGCTATTTCAGCTTAGCCTAGCGTGTGTGGGTGAGCTCACGGGGCTCAAACCGGAGAGTTGCTAACACTGACCCTAGCAAGAGCAGTGCTTCGCAGAATCTACCACCGGGTCGGAAACGCGACCCACTTAGAAGATCCGGCGAGAAACTCAGTGGGCTGTGTCTGTGGGTTAAAGACGTAGGCAAACGATCCCATTCCATACAAATATGAGCTAACTTTTACTCTATCGAGAACGTTAAAAAACTCGCACTAAGCACACTATAGTATCGAACCTGCGGCATTGGATGTTTGGCGATGGCTTGCAAAGCGCAGCCAACGACTGCATTTCTATGTTGCCTTTTAGAAGTATAATCCCATTGCGATTATATTTCAATTGGGTCTAACTGACTGATATTAAATTGGCTGGCCATTCCAAATGTTTTTATTTGTTATGATTTTCTTGGTGACGTTTAGTATATTTTCAATTAAAAAATATAAAATATTGTTAATTGTGCACAATATAATCTAGTTTAGAATTAAGATTTTTACATTTTATAAAATACAAAAAAAAAAACGTTAGTGACACACTCATTTGGGTTTTTTTTCTGAATGCAAAAACAGTGTTCAACAACACAAATTTAAATAAAAGTAGAGTTTATTTATGTAATAATATATTATCTACATAATAAGCATAACCCAACACAATATTTTTTTATGTAAATGTGTTACTATCGACAAGTCTATTATAGTTTGACATAATATACTTAACAAAAGTTTTAAAGGGCTTCTTAAGTATCTTTGCATACAATTACAGTTGTCCATGGTCCACATTTCAGTCTACATGCTTCTTTGATTACACAGACTTTATTGAAATTTTTTGAGTTTGGATATTGTGGGCATGCTAGTTGTCCATATTTATTTGCACCAGTGGTCCAAACTGAGCCATCTTCTAATAATAATACAGAATGCTTTGAGCCACAGGCTATGTCCTTAATTTGGAGATGAACTTCTTCATTATCATCATATAGATCAACTAACTTTGGTAAAGCATAGCTTTTTAAGTCATTTTCACTTTCCTTTATACCTAATTGACCAGTGTCATTCAAGCCCCAAACATAGAGATCCCCAAATTCACTGAGTGCCATGGAATGCCACCCACCTGCTTTTATTTTAATAATTTTTATTCCAGCCAGGGCTTCAACCTGTGTGGGTGTCTCTAAATTGCTTGTATCATCCTGACCTAGTTGCAATCTCCTAAAAATCATTGTAAAATGTATTAATTTAACAATTCCATTTTATTAAGAGTACAATAAAAAGGCACAATGGTTTTATGCTTAAAAAGTTTGAATTTCTTTATTACTTCTTAACTTAAGCTAGCTTCAAGTGGCAGTAATACTGTAGTCTGTAGCCCCTGATGGGTAGGTACCACTTTCCTACCTATTTCTGTCACAGTCATTGGATTTGTTTTTAGGCTGGGTCTGTCGTTATACTATACAATTGAAAGTTCCACTTCATGTCTCAAGTTGAGAGACAAAATTTACATTTTAACAGCCACCTGACACCGAATGACTCAGGTACATTGTGATCTTGATCACCAATTGACACAATAGAAGAAAAAAAACAGACATAAATATTGTTCTTATCCAAACCTGCCATCTCCCCAAGTATAGACATAACCAGTACTAGTGAGAAGCATGTAATGTTCATAACCACAAACAACATCAATTATATGTCCATTACAGTGGCTTGTATCTATGTAACTTGGAAGTATTCCGCTATAAACATTCTTGCCTTTAGTAAGGTAGAGGCATGAAAAATTATTAACAGCAAGCTTTTGTATCTCATTATCTGTTTTATTACGTTTGGGCGATACTTCAAGAGGTAATTCTCTATCCAAATAAACATTCTTTATGCTATTATCTTCCAAATTCAATATCCAAAGGGCACTCGAATTATTGTGGCCAATAACCAAGTTGTAGTCGTTACCGGCAACGAGTGGCGATTTTCTGCACTCTTCTGGTATATCAATTTTCTTAGCGATTTTCCTACCGTCAAAGGCGCCCAATAAATAAAGATTTTTTCTTAGTTGAAATATATTATATGACCAATTGATTTGTATTAAATTAGCCAATCTAAAGTCAAAATTTGGATCTTCAGCTTTAGACATTTTACGAAATTCTGAAAAAAAATCTAGATCATCGAACCATTGATTAAACAAATTTGAGCCCGCAACGTAATATTCCATTGTTGTTGTTGTAAACAATAAACACAGATATTACACAATTACACAATGGTCACAACCATATTAAATGCATAATCTATGGTCACAATGTGTAATTGTGTATCTATGCACGTCGGCTCTGTAAATTTGGCCCCCCTTTTTGACTTTCAGATTTTTTTTATTTTTAATTATTTGTGTCGTCGTTTGTTCGTTAATGTTCGAATATAAAAAGTGTTTGTTCGTCTTTTATTTATTTATAATTAATTAAACAAATGATCACCGTTAAGTGGGCCCCTTTACTAGATATCTTTATTTTTATCGCTCAGGTTAATTAATTTTGATCAATTATCGTTTGTTCGATGACTATTGGTGATTGTTCGATCATAAAAACAATTAAAGTCCCAATTACTAATTATTTTATATCTAATAAGCAAACGATCGCCTTACGCCATCTTTTTTTGATTTTCGGAATTCATTTTTATTTTTAATTATTTGTCCTTCATTTGTTTCTTAATGATCGAATCTAAAAACTGTTTGTTCGTCTTTTATTTATTCATAATTAATTAAACAAATGATCACCCTTAAGTTGCCCCCCTTACTAGATATCTTTATTTTTATCGCCAAATTCATTGAGCTCTCTACCACTTATGAAAGACCGTTCAAATATCTCTTTGTAATCTATGGTACCCCTTATTCTTAGTCTTAAAATTAATACTCTTAAATTCCTAAAAAAATTCATCGGCTATACACCTAAATCATTTAAGTAAATGGTAGTTACACAGTGGCATGAGTATTTACCTAATTTTTTACGTTATACCTTATAGGGTTTTTATAAGCTCAATGGTACCATATTATTTATCATACTCGCTAGTGTGCAGCCTACCTTGGTTTCAACATAGATTCGTGAACTTTCATAGAGTTACTATTCTAACTATTCTTACTAGTTACTATTCTAATTGTAGGTACTTATTAACTCCCTGGTAAAACTTAGTGATATTGTAGTATTTTGAAAACCACGTTTTTTTTTTTTTTTTCCTACCTAAGCTGATAGCCTTGAGAGGCTATGTCAGCGTAACCCTAACTTTAGTAGGTGAGCTCACGGGGCTCAAACCTAACGATGTTGCTAACACGAACCCTAGCAAGAGCCGTGCTTCGCAGAATCTACCACCGGATCGGAAACGCGACCCACTGAGAAGATCCGGCGAGAAACTCAGTGGGCTGTGTCTGAGAGTTAATTTACTCGTCGAGCCCTTCGACGCAAGCGTCGGGTTCGACGAGAACGGTGACCGGTGCTTGAAGTACCTAAAAGCACCGTTAATGGATCGGGAGGATCCGAGATGACGTGTTTTGGGCGACGTCGACTGCTTTCCATTCTGTCCGCAGGATCGGGAATGTAGTTACCGGCGGCCACGATGAGAGGGTTCTCGTGTCGTGCCGCTTTATCGAAGTGGCGCATGGACGCCGACTGCAGATACTTACTGATGGACTCTAAGTCCAGGTCGTCATGGAGGTCGACNGCAGGATCGGGAATGTAGTTACCGGCGGCCACGATGAGAGGGTTCTCGTGTCGTGCCGCTTTATCGAAGTGGCGCATGGACGCCGACTGCAGATACTTACTGATGGACTCTAAGTCCAGGTCGTCATGGAGGTCGACGTTCCTGACGAACCACGGGGCTCCGACGGCTATCCTGCAAAAACGGGATTGAATGATTTGAAAGGATTTTACGTGTATGCGGGCCGCGTGAGCGAACACTACACTTGCATAGGTCATGACGGGGCGTATGCAAGTTTTGTAGAGTGTCACCTTATTTCTAAGGGACATTTTACTTCGCCTACATATCATCGGGTAGAAAAAAACCATGTTTTTAACATATAACATATTTATATCAGTTTGAGTAAATGGGTATTTAATTGCCCTAGATTACATTAAAAGTGAAACGTTTCATATTTTACGCTCCATAATAGATTTTATTCTGTGTTGGTTACTCACACGTAGAACGTACACATAAAATATAAGTCATCCTGTTCAACCATCTTTATTCATTCTGGCGGTCTATTGGCTCCTGTAATAATTTAAAACCAATAGATCGTGAGTTTTGCCGAGAACTCTAAAATGTATCGATATATGTTGCCCATTCCTACTAATACTAATATTCCCTATACATAGATTACTCTTTTCTTTGATCTTTGACCGATACCCAGAATTAGAGAAGCCGGCTATTATATTATATTAAGGGTGTTGAGCTGATTAGTTATCAAGTATTAAGTTATGTTACTGTGTTTAACTGTCGAAAAGACAAAACAAACTAACGAATTACTAGATTAAAGTTTGATACATCCAATTTATAGTTTAGTTTAAGTTAAGTTTGAGTAATAGTTAAAATATCATCGTGCATCGAAGAGCAGACATGTTTCTGATGACATGAAACAAATCCAGAAGAAATCAATATGGCCCTCAAACTTGGGAAGTGTAGGCTTTGCCTCAAGCTGGGCGACTTTTACTCCATCTTCACAATGGACAATGCCGTTCAACTGGCCGAGATGGTTATGGAATGCGCGCGAATAAAGGTGAGGTCCATGTACTTTAAAAAAACTTGTTTAGATAATTTAAAGGTAAAACTGATTTTCGTATTAAAAAGCAGTATTAAAAAAAAAAGCTTGCATGGATTTCGAATACAATTTGCGAAAATACAAGTTATTAAGAATAAAAAAAATTATTAATTTTTCAGATTTATAGGAAAAAAACTGTAGTTTAGTTTCATTTATATACTATTGTGTTGATGTTCATACGAAAGTAACAAAATAATGGTCGAAGATTTTAGTTCAAAAGACAGTAATAAGAAAACTAACCTCAGTATATGCATACCTATTACACAAATACCTTATATTTGATGAGATTATTGAAAACCCCCTTTAGTTTAAAATAAATTAAGCTTAATTATAAACATTGTAATTATTCTGAAGTTGCAAGCAAATCTCCAAAAATACTAAAGCTAAATAAATTTTGCACCTTGATACTAGATTGTGAATAAAAAAAAGTTTCCATCAAAAGATTTACAATCTTTATTATTGTGCACCAGTCTCTGATTGGTTGACATTGTTATCATCTTCACCCTACATTTGTCCTCTCCTGGACATAGGCCTTTACTAATTTTCGTCACAGAACCCGATTGAGAAGTGTATAAAATAGACCTTAAAGAGACTGATCTAGAATTTTAAATAATCCTATTAGTGTATGGTAAATTTATCGTTGTTCTATCTTAGTTGACCGTGTACTTCATTCTACCCCAGGACTAAGTTATGAGTTGTACATACTTTCAATATTGTTTCATTACACATTTTGTCATTTTGATATGTGGGAGTGAGTGGTTTTTAGCACCTATCGACACCACACCACCCCTATCCATCCTGGAGAACAAAGTAGAATAAAATATAGTAGTCCTTGTGTTATTTTCTTCATTACTGGAGGTCATGACTCCCTCAAAGAGACATTTATTTTTGATGTTTATGCTCCTCCTGGGTCATTGTGACATTAAGAGCATTATGTAGCTTTGTGTTGAGCGATTTAGTTCAGACCATCAGAATGGGCAGTGGAGAGGTACTATTCATCTTCAGATACTGCTTACACAAGTTTTGTGACTGTTTGGAGGTATTGGCCATAATTATAATTATAGCCATGGAGGTTGCTCTCCAGTGCTTATAAAACCGATTCAATTTTCGGTAGGCAGCGGCTTGGCTCTGCCCCTGCCTACAAGGGCATAAAAAATTTTTTTTTTATCCTTTGTCTGTTTCACCCACATGAAGTGGGTGGATTACAGAAGAATACAGAATTTGTAAGAACCTAGAGGTAGCAAATCTGATTGTGTTATTGAGCTATACACTATATAAATTTCTAATTAGAAAAGCTACTTTACATATTATATTTATGGTATACTTACTGAATAAAAGTGATTGCTTAATATTTATTTTATATAATTATTTGTATAAACTACAACACAAACACAGCTTTAAAAAATGATTCAGGAATTAAATTAATGTACTTTTTTTTGTATGTTGTTTACCATTTTAAAAACTTATTTATGTGTAAGAGAAATAGTGATTTTATATTATGTCTGTATGTATAATTTCCTCATTAGTTATTAATACATTTAAATGGTACTATTACGAAAACTTTTCTTCAGTGTCAATAATGGTTGGAGTTGATAGATATAGAAACTCCATAACAAAAAGTAAACATAGTCATAGACAGTGACAATAAGTGTCTTGACTTGTGAAAAATATCTATCTGCTCGTGAAGTAAAACAAAATAACAAATCTGTGATTTTGAAAAAAAAATTCTAAAACATTCACGTAATTAATTCTAATTTATAAAAGTGCATTAGTCCGTAACTGCCTGCTCTCTGCGATTTAAAGATAGGACTCTGGTAAGACCTTCAAATTTATATCAATAATAACTACTAAGTTTAATTACAACAAAAATATTAAAGAAATGAAAATGACAATTTGAACAGTTTTTCTGTCCTTTGAATTTGGTGCAACTTTGTCCTGAGTGAGTTTGATATGATTCCTACCAAACTTCACAGGATCATCAGCTGTGCCAATCTTAAGATTTTGTGACAGTGTCACAGAAATCAGGACAAGCTATTTTTAAGTATATAGGAAACATACGTACATACAACAAATTACATACATACATTCATACATACATATATACATTCATACATACATACACACATAAATACATACATTATCATTTGTATTTATAGATTTACTACATAGAGGTCTAAAGAAACCTATTTCTGCCGTGAAGCAGTAATGCGTTTCGGTTTGAAGGGTGGGGTAGCCGTTGTGACAATACTGAGACCTTAGAACTATATCTCAAGGTGTGTGGCGCATTTACGTTGTAGATGTCGATGGGCTCCAGTAACCACTTAACACCAGGTGGGCTGTGAGCTCGTCCACACATCTAAGCAATAAAAAAAAAAGAAAAAAAGAAAAGGAAAATAAATTATTAATCAAGAAATCTTTAAGCCAGAATGAATGAGAAATAACTATTCTAAAAATATTCGATTATAATTACGCCTCTAAC